GGGGGGGCTTTTTTTGCAGTTTTTGGCCAAAGCTGGGTTTGAACCCACCACCTCTGGCATATGGGGCCGGCACCTCACTCCTTGAGCCATAGGCGCCACCCAGCTCGTCATATGTTTTTTTAAGAAGCAGAGTCTCTCTCTGGAGTACAGTGGTGCCATCATAACTCACTGCAGCCTTGAATTCCTGGGCTCAAGTGATCCTCCTGCCTAAACCCCAAGTAACTGGGACTAAAGAGGTGCTACCATGCCCAGCTTTTTTTTCTTTGTTTTTCATTATGCTTTTCTAATTTTTCAAAATTACTTATCAAACAAAAATATTTTGAAAAATTAGGAAAACATTGTCTAGCTTTGAAGTAAGAGAGCCCAGCCTAAGCAAGGCAGGACACCCAGAAGCCACAGAGGAAAAGAAATAGCTTTGACTTTAGCAAAATAAAACCTCAGTTGTAAAAGGTGAAGTTAAAACAAAGTCCTGAGATAGACAGTAGATCTCAGAAAAATATTTGTCACTCATGACAAATAAAAGTTCAATATTTCTGTTGTACAGATTTCCCCACAGATTGCAAAGAAAAAATGGAGGGAGGCAGTGAAATGGGATGTGGGGCAAAGGAACTGAACAGGCAGCTTATAGAAAGGAATTCCAGATGGCCAGAAGACATACTGTATATGAAAAGATGCTAATAATTCACAGGAAAAGTTTAAAATAATAAACAGTGTCTAATGCTCATGAAAATATGGATAAATACATATTTGTATACATTGTTGGTAGGATTGCTATACTTTCTGGAGAGCAGTCTGGGAATATCAAGACAAATTACATAGACCTTTTAACCCAGCAGCAGTTTCTCAGGAATTCTGTAGAAACAAAAATGTCAGTAAATAAAGATACATTTCCAAAAAATTTGTGTTACAACATTTTAATGGCAAAAAGCTAGAAACAATTTCAGTGTCAAGTTGATTAGCCATTAATAAGAAAATAAGTGATTAAATTGAGATAATGTATGCTGTAGAATATTATGCAGCAATTAAAAAGAATGTCATTGGGAAATGGAAAGGTTCGAAAGTGCTGGTCTAGTGAGTTAGGAGGGCCAGGTATAGGGCCTGTCACTATATTTGTCTAAACTTACTTCTTTTTTGAGGTCAGTCACCCTGGGGTTAAGGGCCATGGTGTCATACCTCACAGCAACCTCAAACTCTTGGGCTCAAGTGATTCTCTTCCCTCTTGCCTCAGCCTCCCCAGTAGCTGAGACTACAGGCGTCCACCACAATACCCAGCTGTATTTTAGAGAGGGGAGTTTTGCTCTTGCTCAGGCTAGTCTGGAACTCGTGAGCTCAAGCAATTCACCCACCTCAGCCTCCCAGAGTGCTGGGATTATAGGTGTGAGCCACCACACAGGGCCTTAATCTTATTTCTGAAATGAGAGCATTGCTTCCCTTTTTGAGGTTGTTGAAAAGAATCAAATGAACTATTATGTCCACAAATGCCTTGTAACTCACCATAAAATAATCTTTATTTACTTAAATAGTCTTACCTAATACATGCCTAGTTAGGAAGGAAGAGAATTAGAAAAATTGCACATGTGAAGTCTGGGATGAACTCCTTTCTTAATTAAGAATCATACTCATGGCTCGGTGCCTATAGCTCAACCGGCTAAGGCGCCAGCCACGTACACCTAAGGTGGCGGGTTCGAATCCCCAGCCCGGACCTGCCAAACAATAATGATGGCTGCAACCAAAAAATAGCCAGGCGTTGTGGCAGGCGCCTGTGGTCCCAGCTACTTGGGAGGC